CTGCTGAACAAGACAAAACCCCAAGTGACATTGGCACTTCGCCCGAACAATCAACTCCAGTTTTAGATTCATCATCATTTGAGAAGGATGCCGGTTCTGATGAGGTTATGGATTGTGAGTTAAGCAATCAAATGAGTGAAGACTTGCCATCAAATGTGTCTGCTGAGAGAAATTCAGGGTTTCTGTCAATTGGAGGTCTCAAATTATACACTCAAGACATATCAGATAACGAAAATGAAGAAGATATTGATGAAGACTCATCAGATGAGGACAGATATGTGTCTTCTGAGGCAGAAGAATTACTTGGATCATCTGAAAGCAATGATTCTGAAGACACATCTGATAGTGATTTAGACATTGATGAAGAGGTTGCAAAAGATTATTTGGAAGGAGTTGGTGGTAGTGACAACATCATAGATGCAAAATGGTTGCTAAAGCCTGATTTAGATGAGTCAGTTGATGATAGTTCTTCTAGTAGTTGCTATGATGAGGCATTGGAGAAGTTGAGTGGCTTTGCCCTTCAAGAAGCCTCCAGGGAATATGGCATGAAAAAGGCTCAACCATGGAAGAAACATTCAGTCAATTCTGGACGTCTAGCTTTGGAAGACCTAATGCTGGAAAAGGATCCAAGAACCATCTCTGCTAGAAAGAAGCATGTTCCTCGGTTTCCTCACTCTTGGCCTTCGCATGCTCAGAAGAGTAAAGCTTCCAAAAGAATTCATGGTATGATGGTACCACTATCACACATACTTATATGTTAAAGATCCAAAATAACTTGTCCTTTGTTTATATTTTTAGTTTGATGCTTGATCTTTGAATTCCATGAATACAATGTCATATTGCATACTTTTTTGTAAAAATATTCAAGTTGGTGAAAAGTGGTACAAGCTTATGGGAATTTCACATCGATGGAGTTTGAAACTGGAAATGGTTGTGTGTTTGTTCATTCATTCATTCTTTAAGTTTGATGATATAGTAATGGTATAGAGTTTCAGCCACTTCATTTTGCTAAACAGATTCTATACAGGTGAAAAAAAGAAACTTCGTAAAGAAAGGATTGCTGTAAAGCGCAGAGAAAGAATGCTGCATCGTGGGGTTGATCTTGAGAAAATTAATTCGGTATATGATAAAAATTAATTATTCTCCATCTCCAATGATATATCCTATTCCTAGTTATTACTGGCCAAGTGGCCATACTACCTCAAATATAGTTTTCTTTTGCTTCATCCTCCCCCTCTTTATCTTTCAAAACCACTCATTAGTTTTCAATATATTTTATGTATGTATAGATTAAAAATATTTCATTACACTTTCCTGTATCAGAATTTGTTCCCTTTTATTTTATGTTTTTTTACTTGTTAGCATTACATGTTTGATTCTACAAGCTTTTCACATAAATCTAGTGACCCTTTGCTTGAAGCTTGTTGCCTGAATTTTTTTTTCTTTTTCTATCTGTTAAGTTTAATGTATTTTATAGGTGTAATTATTACTTTCTTTCTTTTTGAGACATACTTTTACTGATGTTGGTGGCTGTGTCAGGGATCAGACTGCTGTATCTCCTTTTCTGTCTTATCTTGTACTCTCTAAGCACATATATATATATGACATCGCAGTCCAAACCACATGGAAACAACAAAGGGTAAGCTAGTGAAAAGAATCAACATACATATATAAAATATGAATGATAAACAGCTACAGCTATCAGTACATCAGCCAGCTTAACAACATCAACTTATAATATATCAGAACATTCAGCAATAACAACACCGCATAGCGGCAATAACAGCACCACTTAGTGGCAATAACAGCACCGACTTAGTGGCTATACAGCACCGACTTAGCGGCTATAACAGCACCGACTTAGCGACTATACAACACCGACTTAGCGACTATAACAGCACCGACTTAGCGGCTATACAACACCGACTTAGCGGCTATAACAGCACCGACTTAGCGGCTATAACAGCACCGATTTAGCGGCTATAACAGCATATAACTCAGCACAGCACAACAATATCAGCATCTAGCACAGCTAAACACTTACAACACAACAATATACATCAAATACAGCTTAACATCATAATGCAGCATAAACATCTCACAGCTCAACAACATTCATCATTAACGGCTTAAATCAGCATACAGCACAGCTCAGCTTAACATCTAAACACAGCTCACAGCACAACTTAAACATCCCTATTCAGCAGTAACATCTAACAGCACGACATATTCATCAATTTCAGCTCAGTTCAGCATATATTTACATTTATCAGCAAATTTCAGCACATAAGTCATCATCTCATCCGCGCCCGGCGCACTCATGGTCGCGTCCAGCGTGGCACAACCAGAGAGCACCAGGGACCATCGCGCCTGGCGTGATAGGAGGCAGAGACCTCAACAGATCTCATAAGCCCGGCGTACTCATCCTATGCTGGGCTTAGGCAAGTAGAGACCTCCCCAGGGTCTCACACCTGGCGCAATATAAATTGTGCCCAGTGCCACCTCTGGCAGAGACTCCCAAGGAGTCTCTAGCCCGGCGAGACAAAGTCACGCCCGGCGCCACACCAGAATCACCATTTACATGTCACACACTGTTATCGCGCCCAACGCCGTCTCACCACGCACGGCGTGGGCCATCCAGAGGCTCACATTCTCAAGCTC